TTTCTCTTTCGAGTGATATTATCAGCGGGATAGTGAGATATTTGACTTTTTCTTGTGAAATTGTTGAAAAAAATCGTGTTTTCCAACGGCCAATCGCCTTAGTAACTCAAAAAATACTGGAAACTCTCAGAAATGTCCAATTAAAGTGGGGTTTTCGGCACGTTAAACTGCGGACTTTCTCTTTCGAGTGATATTCTGGGCAGCCTTAAAAAATTGTTGGTTTTTCCTTGGCAGTTTTTTTTAATTCGTCTAACGATAATAACGGCCAATCGCTTCCCCTTAGTAACTCAAAACATCCTGGAAACTCTCAGAAGTTTCCTAATCAAGTGAGTTTTTCCTGGTTTAATTCAGGCGATTTTCTATTTGGAGTGATGTTATGGTCCGCATTCAGGAATTTTTGGTTTTCCTTTGGCAAATTTTTCAAAAATTTGCGTTGTCCAACGACCAATCTTTTCGATTTAGTATCTGAAGAAATCCCGAAGATTTCTAGAAATTTCCTATTAAAGTGGTTTTCCTCACTTAAAGCCGCATATTTTCTCTTTCGTGTGATATCTTGGGCACGCTTGAGAAGTTTTTACTATTTCCTTGACAATTTTTTAAAAATCCGCCTATCTATACAAACGGCCAATCGCTTCCCTTTAGTAACTGAAAACATCCTGGAAGCTCCCCAAAATTTCCTAATCCAGGGAGGTTTTTCTCGCTTAAAGCAGCGGACTTTCTCTTTCGATTGATGTTATGCGCTGCATTCGGAAATTTTTGGTTTTTCCTTGGCGAATTGTTGAAAAATTCGTGTTGTCCAATAACCAGTCGCTTTGATTTAGTATGTGAACAAATCCTGAAAACCCTCAGAAATTTCCTATTAAAGTGAGTTATTTAAATCCGCATATTTTCTTCATATTCATATTCATATCTATATTCATATACCATATTCTCTCTAGTTTCTAGTGATATTCTGGGCAGGCTGAGAAATTTTTGGTTTCTCCGTGACGATTTTTTTGAAAAACTCGTGTTTACGAATGATCAGTCGACTCGCCTTAGTAACTGAAAAAATCATGGAAACATCCAGAAATTTCCTATAAAAGTATGTTTTTAATCTAATACCGTACATTTATGAATTCCGCGTTTATCGCGTTTCTTTAGGAGGTTAAATTGGTTTGGAACTGGATTAAAACCTTTTATATTTTTCACAACTAACCCTTTTTTAGAGGCTCAAAAGGGTAGAAACTAGTCATTTAGTAAAAAAAAGCTTGAATTCAGTCCCAGACTCGCAATTATCGTATTGAAAAATTATTTTTGCCTCATCTGAAACCCTTTTTTTATTTTTAATGATTGATGTTTTGAACCTTCTCGTTTTGAAATCTCAGATCATTTTCAGAAAGTAAAAAAAGAGTCTCAATTCAGACCCAAACCCGCTTTTATTGTCTCCAAACCTTGTTATTGTCTGTTCTGATGCTAACGGAATTGACACTAGATTAAAACTGTTTTTTTTTCTTAAATTGGACAACGTTTCAAACGTTTCGTTGGTTGCACTCCGAAAAAACTAAAAATGTCGGAAAATTTGATTGATGAAATAAAGGTAGTTTCAACCCTAAATGATACTGGATTTTATCGTTTCTAAAACTAAACTTTATTTGCTCTGATGATAGAGGGTTTTGTGACTAGATTTAAGTATCTTAAATTTCTTGCAACTGGCCGATGTTTGAAACAGTAAAATTTCGTTTTCACGCGAAATGCGATAATTAAAACGGGCTTTAAAACGAATCTCAGTCTTTGGGTCATATCTAGAGAAGTTCAGAGAGTCACAAAGTACGCACTTTTTTATATTGAACAAAATTGCGGGAATGCTTTTGATTTTAATGCAAAATTTAATCGGCTGAAGT